ACTCGGCCACAAAGGTGAGGCGCTCCCGGCATCGGCCCCGGGGGAGAACGGGGGTGGGGGGGGCGGGGGCGGAGTGGGCAGGAAAGTCGCACAACCTGATTGGTCCACAGCTGAACAGACTGAACAGGCAAGACGGTCCATCCAACGTCGGTGTGAGACATTCATTCACTGTGTCAAAATCTAGCAACTTGATCCAAATCTAGCAATTTGAAAGATACTGAAAGCAAATGCAAGACTCATCAGCCATCTTTAAAGAGGCCAAGGAACCAATTAATTATTCCCATCCCTGGGAAACAAAAGGCAAGGCTCAAGCATGCATTCTTTTTTTTAATACAGACTGCATGTTAGAGCTACCAAATCACTGAGGAGTCCAAGGTTCTCTTTACATGCGTATCCCAGATGAAGAATTAAAATGTCAGTATATTCCTCACCTCCTAATTGAAAAGATGACAACCCGGTCATTTGTCTCTGGACAGAAGGGTATATACTATTACATATGGGGTATTCTTGCCAAAAAAGTTCAAACCTGAATTAGATTAAGCCTCTCGGTCAAATCCCACTTACAGAAAATACAGGGGATAGAGGAACGTTTAAGTGATACCACAGCGAAGTAAAATGCACTGGGGAGCATTCCACAGGACAAACAGCCCAACTTTTTCAACAGGTAAATTGCAAGGAAAAGAGTAAAGTGTAAACCTATTGATTAAGAGAGACAACATACGGACCTTATTTGGGCTTGATTTAAACAAACCAATGGCAATATGAAGTTTACAAGACAATCAAGGAAATTGGAATACTGAAATTTAATGTCATTAGAGTTGTTCATTTTTTTACGTGTTACATGGTATATCGCTTTTGTCTTTTTTTTACAAGTCTTTTGTTTTAAAGCTACTATTAAAACATTTATGCATGAAAATCTACAACGTCCAGGATTTGCATGAACGTACGCCAGTGCTATTGATGGTCAAGGGAAAGGGCAGGCAGGGATACCGATGAGATGGGACTGGCCCCGGGTTGGTCACTGTTGAATCCCCAAGCGCCCATCACTAAGCTACAGTAAACTATTCTGATTTTGTATGAAATTCTTTATAGTAAAAAGTGAAAAAGAAAGTTGAATCAAAATCCCCTATCCGTCCAACGTTTCCTGCTTTCGCGTGGGATGGCAAACATGGAGGGACAAACGGATGCTACGGCAGAGAGGCGGGAGACGTCCTGCAGGAGGCGGCAGGCGTGGGCCCATCAGCGCGTGTGGGCAGCACCAAGGGCCTGGGCGTAAAGAAGACTCACCGTGGACCTGTGTGTCAGGCCCAGGAAGCTGGGCCCCAGGGCACAGATTGGTCATGGGCAGCGAGAGCCGACTGCACAGGGTGGGGCTGGGGCGCGGGCTGGGTCAATGGGAGTCTCTCTGTCGGGTTCATGAAGCCATCCGCGTTCTGAACGGGGGGTGGGGGTGGGGGGGGAGACACAGCGGCTGGACGTGGGAAGCCTCAGGAACCAGGGAGGCAACATTTGCAACATGAAAATGACACGGAAGGAGAGCTGACAGGTTTTGGTTTCTCGCTGCACGTCTGGGGATGAAAAAAGAGACCAGTCACAAGCAACTGAAAGCATGGAGAAGGGTCCGGTGGCGTGAGGGCAGGTGGGAGGCAGGACTCGGGGGACAGGTGTCGGGCCAAGTCCACCTGTGAGGAGAGGTATGCATGACACGCTCAGTGTGTTCTCTTGCTGCTTAGTTCAAAGAAGGTGATGGGGAAAATACTTATCCTTTGATCTCTATAAATCAAAGTATGAACTGTGTGCCAAAATAATTTAACAGCTGTGCCTTTTTTCCTAAAATTATTAGTTCTAAAAACAAAAAAATATAAAAAGTAGAAAAAAATGCGACCATTATCTTTGAAACCAAACTAAATTATGTGTTTTTTCAAAAAATGAGCAAGAACGAGAAAACTATAGAGGAATTTAAGTGACACAAAAATATTGTTTTCCCTTGTAACCTAAGTTTGGGAGACTTCAGTGGTATCTTCAGAGACGTCTGATAATGAAAACACAGAAGGACGTTAAGTGCGTGTGTGGGGAATTTCTGGCTACAACAGTCGGGGTGGGTTGAGGGGAACAAAAATAGAAACAAAAAAAGACATTTACACTTCAAGGTAATTTTAGGAAAGGTGGCCAATTACCCCAAGCAAACATTTCTTTTAGGGACTTAATGAGAACTGGATTTGAAAAACAAAGTGTAAAACAAACAAAAACAAAAACAAAAACACCCTAGATTTTCAAAATACAGTTTTTAAACAGGAAAAATCAGCCCGTCAATGATGCCACCCTGATTGCTGTCTTAAAATTCCCCGTGGTGTTTCATGAAACATCAGCGTTGCCGGTATAAAAATGCCACCTTCGTGATGAGCGATGCAAGACACAGAGGGCTGCAGAACAAGGCCGGCGCTTCTACACGCTGGTGAAGGGGCTGGAAAGTAACTTGGGGGTTCGTCAGGGAGCACTGACAGATCACAGAAATCATCTGTACGGGGAGGCACACTAATCAATAGAACTATAAGGGAAAACAAGCTGGCCGCCTGATGGAGAATGTACCTGAGCACATTTCCCTCAGCACAGGCTGCTTGGACCTGGCCTTCACATTTTATTTCTCCACCGCTCTTTTCTCTCACATTGGCTGAGTGAAAGTATCATCCCCCCCAAGGCAAGGGCCTCCTGTGCTACATCAGGCAGGTTTGTAACGAGTCCATGCGCAGACAGCAGCGGCGAGAGCCCGTTTGCTTCCCACTCGGCGAAGTCGGAGAGGGCACCAAATTGGATCCTGGTGACCCCGGCCTGCTCTCCGTTGAGACCCACCCTTTTTATGCGGTACCACGATACCAAACTGCCCCTCAGACCCACCCTTTTTGGATAAAACAGGCCTATGTCTGAGTAGAGATATGGGGCCACGCTGGAATCTTGGAATTTCCAGAGTTAGGAAAAAGGGCTTCAAAACAACGACAAGATAAGAGGAAATAAGGTTTTCAGGTGGAAACCGATTTAAGAGGAAAAAACTAAAACCTTTCCAGATGCCCGTTCTGTGAAGAACCCAGTTATTTTTTAACATCTCTTAGATAAATCATGAGAAACCGGGTATCTAAATAAGGAGAATTGAAAATCTGTAGAACACTTGCAATACGGTAATTTAAAAAAATCCTGTGACTCCGTAAACACTGACCTGGCATGCCGAGCGATGCGTGTGGCTCAGCGCCGAGTTTTCACCTTCGCTGGGGTATTTCTAGTTCTTTTCAGACAGAGCTGTTTCTGAGAAAAGTAACTCACTCTCAATAACATCTGTAGAGGTGAAAATTCACCCTGGGGTAAAACATGCTCCTCCTGCAAGTAATTTACCTTGTGGAACCTTCGGGGCAAGTCTTTAATGGCCACTGTCAAAATAACTTCTAAAGCCGTACACAAAAGCTAAAAGACACTTCGGCCCCGCACCCCCGACACCGCAGTTTAATTTTACCGACAAACTGAACTTTTAAACTGTTTCCCCACTTACATTTATCTCTAAGCATTCGTAAACGGTACGTGTATGCTTACAGGACAATCATTAGTTATCCCCCAGGAGAATCTGTGTGGCTTTTCTCACCCAGGAGGCGGCTGGGTCACCCTCCTTTCCACGCTGATGAATCTAAGGTACAGAATGCGGGCCTGGGCCTGGGCCTGGGCTGCGGGACTAACTGCTGCATGCGAGAAATGTAAAATAAAAATAAAAACAGCCCTCCGTGCAAACCTCACAATTCTACGGCAATTACTCCATGTTGGCGCGTATTGCTCCTGTGAATTCTAACCGGAGCAAACAGACCATTTTTCACATCCTATTATCTCTCAGTGGCCAAAGACGCACTTCAAACCAACCACGTTCTCCCTGACTGAAGGAGGAGCATGTTGCTGGATCCTTTTCTATTCTGAAGAATCCATAGGTACAGAGGTGATGCCAAATTAAATTGTTAAGGTGTCTGAACACCCTTACGAGCTCCCTAAGCATGAGCAGCACTTGGGCTGAGTGAAGATTTCACCGCCTCGTTTCAGCATTTACCTAGAGCAGTAACATGTCCAACCGACAGCGCAGTGGAAATGGCCATACGGTTCTTGGTGAAATTAAAGTTGGCAAACTTATCGGATGAGAAATCAAATGATGACTCACATTCTTCTTCTTTCAGCTATGCCCACAAGGACCGAGGTATGCACCAAAATTCCTCATCACAGAACCGGGGGCCATCTTTCCGCTCTTACTTAAAAAGCATAAACCAAAATCCTAAGCCATTTAGGGCATCTGAAGGAATTTCCTTTTACGCGGTGGACGAAAATTTCATTTTGACAGATCCAGCTTTAACGATGTTTTAATAACATCGCCATTACAGCCCATGGAGAAGCCAGGATACTTATCACTGCGCCAAAATGTTAACAGGTACAAAGGACTTGCAAACTAACAGCCCAAGACAGCTCACGAAAAGATCTCTGGAAATCCATCGGCGATTTAAAACAATAAACAAGGAATATGAGAGCAAGCACGGGGCGGGGGGGAGGGGGGGGGGAGAAACGACGGGCCAAACGCTGCTTTTCAATTCACTTATGGTCAAGCCAGAATCTTTGTCGCTTTGCTGAGAAGTCAATTAAAAAAAAAAAAATTGTTGCTGGATGTGCTCGGTGGACCCAGAGCTGGAGTAACACATGTTTCCCCCTCACACACTCACACACACTCACACCCTCTGACAGGGATTCCCAGGACACCAGCGGGGCCTCTTTCAGGCCCCTTAAGTGTTAACAGCAGAGGCCTGGCTGCGACCGGGCGTCTGGCCCGAGTTAAAGGGCCTGTCTTCAGAGGAGCGCGGCGAGCGCGGCCATAAAACCAGGGGACATTACGGAACCTTAGAGTGTCTGATCCTCCCCCCTCCCCCGCCCCAACACACACAATTTCACTCCCACAATTAAGGCTGCTCGCTGGCATTCCATTGAACTGTCAAAGTCGGGCCGGTGGCAGCCGCAGAGCCACAAAGAGATGCCTTAAATGAGAAGAACATGTTCCTACACCGCATTTGAGAAAGTTTGGCTCCGAGCTATGCGCTGATTAATATCAGATCTCCTCCTTCCCTCGCCTCTCCGCGATCTTGTCACATCTGGCTGACAAATCCCGAGCCTCTCGGGGCAAAGCCGGGGGGCCGCGGGGACACGCCGCGGCCCCCTCCGCCCGCGCTGCCGGGCCCGCCGGCCACAGGGAACCGACGCGGCGCTCCAGAGGGGAGTCGGCACGGGGACGCGGCGCTGGCGGTCCCCGCGCTTCCAGGCACCGCCCAGTCCCCTCGGTCCCTGCAGGTGTCCCGTCGTGAAGCCGCAGGAGACGCGCGCCTGGCTTTTCCGTGCCCCCTCCCGCGCCCCGCGGCGGCCGGGTCTCCGTCCCCGCAGACGCCGTGCGCCGCGCCGTTCCCGACACAGCACGCGGGTCCTGCGCCGTCAGCGCCGCTCCGGACGCCCCTGCCCCGCCCGCCGGCACCTTGCTCCGCGGTTTTACACAAAAGATGCGTCCCCGCTCGCGGCCGGGAACCCGGTCACTGCCGCCCGCCTGTCCCCGCGGTTCCCACAGGGGCCGACGGCCACCGCGCGCTCCGTCCTCCACAGAAACCAAACCCAGGTAGAAGCGGCCGTTCCGAACGCGAGCTGCTGGCTGAGTGGATCCCGGGCTGAAAGCGGCGGGACGGGAGGCGGGCGCGCTCGGACGCAGCCGCGGCGCTGAGGGCGGGAGGCGACCTGACGCGCGCCCGCCCGGCCCGCACTCCCGACGCGCGACGCTGTCCCGGGACCGCGGGGACCCCCTCGGCCCGCGCCACCGCGCAGGTGGTCCGGGGAGGCTGCCAGGGCGCGACCCGGTACGGACGGGACCACGTCCTAGCGGTGCCCCGGCCGCCCCGCGCGCAGAGCGCCCCGCTTACCTCAGCCATCCTGCGGCCGCCGCGGAGCCCGGCTCCCCGCGCGTGTCCCCGGCCCGCGTCCGCCCCGGCTCGGCGGGCGCCGCCGCATCTAAACTCCGGCCGTCGGGGCGACGCGGCGAAGTGGGCGGCTCCCCGCACGCCCGCCCCCTGCGCCCGGGTGGGGGCCTCCTCCTGCGCTGTCCCCTCCCCGCCCCTCCCCCTCCGCCGGCCGCCAGTCCCCCGCCCGGGAAGCCCGCCGCCCGCCGGGGCCGCCTGCGGACGCCCTGAGCCCGCGGAGACCTCGCCGGCGGCCGGCGCGGAGGTGTCTGCCCCGCTGGGCTTGAAGGCACTTGTCGGGAGACACAGACGTGTCCGCGTCTGCCTCCCCGGGAGGCCAGACGCTCTGAAGTTCGCTGGCTCCCGTCTCGCTCGGCGAGGCCGCCGCCCGCCTTCCCCGGGGCGCCCTCGGGGTCCCGCGGCGCGCGCCAACGGGAGCTTATTTCCAGGGGCCGCGCGGGGACTGTCCCTGACGTGGACGAGGGGTCGCCCCCTTTGCTAAGAACCCAAACTTCCCTGCTGTGGTCGCGGGACGCACAGCCCCAGCTGTCCCGCGTCCCCAGGACAAGGGGCTCGCTCTCTCAACCTCCCTCGCCTCGGTTGTAAATGGGATCCGCTTTGCACCTCTCTTATGGGGTGCGAAGGATGAAGTGAACTGAAATGTCCTAAAACACGCAGCCGGAGCTGAGCCCTGTGAGCACAGCGGGGGAGGGCCTGCCCGAGAAGCGGCTTCCCTGACCCCTGGGAGCCGACAGAGATGGGCCGCAGCTGCTGGCAGGGCCCTGGCGCGCACGCAGACCCGCAGGAGGACGCAGCTCCCTGAAGGGCTTCTCTCTTGGAGGCTGGACTGGGGCGGGGGTTGGGGAGTGGGGTGGGGGGTTCCTGCTGCCTCCTCCCCGGTTTAGCGCCCCCCCCCCCCGCCCCGCTGCTGGTGGGGCTCCTTGAGTGGGGAAGCAAAGCCTTCTGCATACACCCCGAGGTTGTGGGGAAATGGGCGATGGAAAGAAGAAAAGGGAGTTGCAACCAGAGGCAGAGAGTGCCTGGTTCTGGCTCTGGGAGGTGCAGGCCTCCGAGAGGCAGAGGATGGAAAGGAGACAAGAGGGTGCCTGTGGGAGAGCGTGGGTGTCACGGGGGTTTCATGGGGTCCGGAGAGCCCCCGCTGTCTCTCCCCAGGTGGGACACACTCAGGGCATCCTGGCCAGGCGCCTGTCTTGGGTCTGCAGCGCCGGAGGCTATGGGGCAGGCCTCGTGGGAGAGACGCGGCCCTGCCTTCCAGGTGTTGGGAAGAGGTATTTTTTTCACATGGCTGAAGCAGTGCTGAAGCCTGGCTTTGTGAATGCCAAACCCCACCTGCTTCTCCTCCATTTGGCGGGCGCCAGCCCCCTTCTGCTCCTGCTCTTTTCTCGGCCTGTGTTATCACAGTGTGTCGTCCTTCCAGGTCTTTCTCAAACGTCACCGCTTCCCTGAAGCCTTCCCTGACCCCGTACCAACTCTCCACTCCTTGTGCTGTAAATTAAAAAAAAAAAAAAAAAGTTTATTGATTTTTTTTGAGAGAGAGAGAGAGAAAGGGAAACATTGATTTGTATTTCCGCCCACTCATGCATTCGCTGGTTGCCTTCCCGACCAGGAAGGAACCTGCAACCTTGGCGCATCCGGATGACGCTCTAACCAACTGAGCCACGCGGTCTGGGTCGCTCCAGGTGCTTTTGCCCTCTGACGACCCGCCAGGCACTTGCGTCTGGCTCTCTTGCGGTGCTTCTTGCATCCTCCAGCCTAGTTCGGATGTGTCCTCATCCGAACTTCTTTGGCCATCACTCATCTGAGTGCCTTCTGTGCTCGGGGCTGTAGCAGACAAAGCTCAGGGGTTGGAGTTGGGGTGACCTGGGTGTAGCCAGTTCCCAGCCATTGGAAGCTGGCTGAGGAAGTCGGGGGGTTTTGACCTTACTGTCCTCGCCTTTGAGAGTAGGTGTGAAACTCTGTCCCTGACCCAAGAGTAGGTCGGTGGGGCCCCATAAGACAGTCTCCGTTCTGCTGACACTGCCGTCCTCCCTTCCTTTCCGGTGCGCATAAAGCCGATTTTGGATTAATTTAAATTTGTTACCAGAGGAGTTTTTGGTCACAGTATGAGTGAATGGCCACAATACGCTTATTATAAATACACCAAAAATGTCTAAGTCCTCATACGTACCTTTCATCTGTCTCAATGAAGGTTTTGGTCAGTATCTGTATTTGTTGCAAGCGAATTGTGTTTTTTCTGTAAAGCTTTCCGCTAGCAACAAATGTCAGGACCCCCCTGTTTAACTAACTCTATTGCTGGTTACAAACATGAGGACGATTTCGGCAATACGTAATTTGAAAACATGGAAACAGGCTGTCGTTCCCAACACACTCCATTGGGGTGGACATTTTTTCAGGCATGACAGTTTTGATCCACATAGAGGAATCAGTAAGTTTAGAGGAAAATGAGTAATTAATCTTCTGCAGGTTCATTGAGGATTAGTCCTTGATATTACCAAAGTTAGCCCTTACGTTTATTCCCAGATCCGATGGACTTCTGTGTCGCTCCTTGGACACGTGTGAGCGAAAAACGGGACGGAGAAACCACCGCGGCCTGTAGAAAAGAGCGTGCTACCTGCTGCGTACGGACCATCCAGAGCTCACGTGTGTCCTCCTGCTGGTCAGTACTGGGACCGGGGCATGACTTCCCCTCCCCTGGGCCTCAGCTGCTGAGTCTGGCCAATGGGGGGCCCCCTAGGCCCCCCTGCCCCCCTAGCCCTCACTTTTTGCTTCTGCACTTCAGCCTTGCTACGTTCCTTTTGTGTCAAGTTCCTCGTTTGAGTGAGTACTAAAACCAGGATGTCTTCTCTAACTGTATAATATCAAAGATTAAAAAAAAAAAAGTTTATCAAAAAGGGGAAAAGTTGAGAAGACACAATCAGATTCACTGTGAGTGGTTCTTACGAAGGCAAGAAGCGGCCCTTCTGAGATGAGAGGCTTGGCCGGATGGCCGCGTCCCTGAGTGAGGCCCTTCCCGGGGCGGGTGTGCCGTGACCGCCCAGCCCCGGAGCCCCGGCATCTGCCGAGGGGCCGGGCGGGGGGGTGCTCTGTGAGCTGAGAGCCAGTGCCTGTCTGAGGTGTGGGCAGTTGTTACTATGCTTGTCATCAGCCGGGAATGTGGGCTTAGTTTTGCCAGGTTTCCTGAGTTTTCAAGAAAAGCTAGAAATATTCTGATGCTTAAATGTTGGCAACTAATTCAAATTTTTGATAAATATGGTGTGAGTCAAACGAAATATGTTTATGAACTGAACCTGGCCAATGTGCTGTTCATTTGTACCATCTGCGATACATAGCGAAGTCTTCTTGAGACCTGCGCTCATGGTACATAGTAGGTGCGCAACAAATATTTGTAGGGTAAATATCTCTTGGTGGAGAATGGTTCATAGGCTTCTTGAGCTTTACAGTGAATTTACAGAATACTCACAGAGATATAAATTATAGTACAGGGAATATAGTCAATAGTATCATAGTAACTATGTGTGCGGCCAGGTGGGTACTTGAAATATCGGGGTGGGGGGAACGCTTGGTTAAGTAGATGCTTGTCTAACCACTGTGCTGTACGTCTGAAACTAATACAGAATAATACTGAATGTAAACTGTAATTGAAAAATAAAAAACATTAAACAATAAATAAAATGAATTCTCAAAAGCCACACAGAAATCAGTAACAAACTTTTTGTGTTAGATTCAGAGTCCACTAATGGACTGGTAAACTTTTCCAGTATTTGCACCCTGATAAGACTCCCTGGCGTTGTTAATAATTCTGTTAAGTACAGAAGAGCCTCTCTTTGGGAAACTCCCTCTCACAAGAATTTTTTTCCCCAGTGTGGACAAATGAGCTTGGAAAAAAAAAATTTTTTTTAAAGGTATTTTTAAACATGGCATCACTGTATTAAAAAGAAAAAGACCCCTTTAGCTACAGAGGTTGGGGCGCTGATGGTGGGAGCAGCGTTTCACAGCCGGGCAGGTGGGCAGCTGCCTCTCCCCCGAGCCTGCCAGCGGCCTGGGGAGGAGCC